CGGGGGGTGTCCTGATGGCGGGGGTCGATGGGAACTCGATGGGCGCGATACGTCGGCAAATTGGGTTCTTATTTTGTTAACTTATAATATTGCGGACACCCCATGCAAGCATTACAATAGATGTGATGTGCATACCTCTCCGCGATGTACATTATGCGTGTCTGCATTCGGGATCGTGGGTCCTACCAGGCTTCCGTCCTTGTCCTGATGCTGCATCAGGAGCTCTGCTGAGTCTGTTCATTGCGACGGCTTGCACGTACAACTCGTGTGTGGTTCCGCACCTCTGCCCAGTTGGACGAGGAGCAGGCTCAAAACCGACAAGCAACATCGCCCTTAAACTCTAAAGTCGAAAGCCTGCATCCCAGGTTCGCCTTAGCCGGGTGGGAGAAAAAGCCCGAAACGGCACGGGCAAAGTACGTGCTCGAGTACACGACAGGGCTTGCTTGGATGCCGGTGCTTCGAGCCGTTGCCTTCAGTCGAGGTAGCATGTGGAAGGCAGATCAGGGACGCCCGAAGTCGACAAGTATGAGCGTACTGTAGAGTCCTGCAAAGCATATGGAGCCTGCTGTGCGTGCCAATCGCAAGACGGGAGGCGGCCAAGATCCTGGAAGCCTTCACCTATCGCGAGTTCTGTATGTTAAATACCCAGTACCTCATAAATAGCATTGCAGTTACAATGTTGCACATGATGCATCATGTCACAATGACTGTATGCTACATGTTTTTTGTTGCTGCGTCCTTCCAGCTACCACCTTCGGACTGCGCACGCCATGGCGGATCGCCGGCCGAACAGGCCCCCGGTGCAACTCGGCAATGCTCGATTCTTCCCTTCGTCGCTCATGTCCGCTAGTGTTTTAAGATTTTCAGGGAGGTCGGTCTTCTTACAAAAAACATCACCTGTCAGACGTCATCCATATCAATCGGGACTCTGCAGCATGAGAGGTTTCATTTCGTAGCCGTCAAGCGTAGTGCCCTCACGTGCCTTCCCTGAGGTGGTGACTTGCTTGCTCAAGGTTTTAAAAATATTGGGTCATTAGCATCGCTATCGACATCATGAAGATCATCAGTACTGTCGGTGTAGTTCCCTGCTGTCATACCTGTCTTTGAAATTGACCAAGAAAGCTTCGGTGCTGCATTGCTTGGAGTAGCTTTGCCCGACCTGAGGAAGTTTCGGGAAGGTTGCATGATTTTTGGCAACACGACGCTTGGCCACGGCCTCAGCACGTAGCACTGGGTTTCAGGGGAAAGCACATCGCCCAGCGTCTCGGATGAGGTGCTGAAGGGCTGATGTGCTTCAATCCACGGTGTGGGGTCACCTTGCATTCAGTCGGAGTGGTGGTGTTTGCTCAGTGCAGGAAGCAACGAAGTGTTGCTGTATCTCTCTTCTGGAGGTCCTGTATGGTGCCGCAAAAGCTGCTGTACATAACTGTATGTGCAATGGCTGCGTGGATTTGCAGAACCATATCACCGGGGCAACCTCAACGACCACCGCCCACTGAGAACAGCAACCCGCTGCTGGAAACAAGCACGTTATTTCAGCAGCTCAAGGCCCTAGAAGGCCCGAATGTAAAATACCGAATGCGTTGGAATGGTCAAGACCGGCAACTCTTCTTGTTTTGTCCTCCCATAAACCCTGAACTTCCCTGAACTCTGCACTTTTCCCTATGGCTGCAACCCTAAGCCATCCCGAAACCTATAGTTATGGCTTGTTGATTTGCGAGTTGTGAGACGAGTCGTTGTGCAACCTTGTCTAGCTTGCATGCGCTATTGTGAAAGATGGCACATCGTGAGGGAAAGTGAAGCGAGCGAGAGGGAGAGAGAGAGAGAGAGAGAGAAACCCCATAAACCAAAGCCCTAAACAGCGGATGGCTTGCAGCAAGGCCACAGCTCGGTCAAGTTCAGACCCCGGCGTAGGCAACAGGCCGCTGCTTCTTTCGGGTTTTGGGGTTCAGGGTTTTCGGGCTCATGCATTGAGGGTTGAGGGTTCGAGGAGTGTTAGCTTAGTGCTTTTCAATGTACAAAGGATGCGTGTTTCCTTTTTGTGGGCGGGGTTCGTGCTCCCATGTCCCTGTATTTCCTGAACAGACAGGTTACAAGTTTCTGAGCCGTTCACTTGTCATCACTGTTCGTGCAACCCACAGATGGGTGATTTCTGTGGAGTGACAAACAGGCAGGATCCAAGCAGCTTGCGATGTTCTGTGACCTGAAGTTCTCTCCCAAGCAGAGGCATTGCCACGAACAGCCAGCATTGGCATCCGTGCTTGCAGGGTGCTCTACAACGCCCAGTTTCTGTCGTCTTGTCTTGTACTGCGATACGTAATATTAACTGAAAATAAGCCTCAACCTCGGAAATCCCGGGCCCTGCAAGCGACCATGAGCCAATGGCGGGCGGAAGAGCCACTACCCTGTTGGTATTCTTTGTCGTCGGCCATAAAACAGAGGGCGTGGAGGCGCGCAGTGCTTTTAGTACCGGTTGGTTGCAAAATTTGACGAAGGCTAAAGCAGTGTGCAGCCTGTATAAGGCCAGAGCCCATCGAACACGCTCTGCATCTTACTATTTTCCGTTGACATATGTGAAGAAGCAATATCCAGCCGACCCCTGCCAGGAGCCATGCGTTTCCATGCGGAAGGCCCAGGCTGCACGGGTCCTCCAGGAATTCCGCCTCTCTTTGAAGGGAGCCGGATCTGTGGATCAGCACTTGAGAGCCGTGTTTGCACGATCCAAAGGCTCCTGCGGGGGCGGCCGGCTGCTCGACGAGGTGGTGAAAGCAAGTCGGACTTTTCTCAAAAGCCTGGGATCCTTGGGACGAAGAGAGCGGGGACCCTGGTGTAGCCACAACTTCGACCTCGTGTGGTGGGAGGCCCAGAACCTCACTGGATCCTTGTTTCGACCGTGGTCATATCACATCCCGCTGCTTCGCTGAACTAACAGGCTTCTGGTAACTTAAAGTTATACTGAGAGTGAAAGAGAAGGATGCCGTGATAGCGACTAAGGTTCAAGAGGGCCCTGAAGCAGGCAATTGCTGCAATGAATGCCTGCGGGCTTCAGAGAAGGTTCGTCCCTTCCGAGGGCACCCTGATCGCCTTGCTCAGATACGGGAAGCTTGCTTTTGATCTTGGCGGGGTCGTTGACCACGTGGACAAGGACATTGACATGAAGATCTTCGTCCGGTCGCAGGCGGAGTTTTTGCTGAAACTTGAGTGCATCGTTTCTTACCTCCAGGGCCGCAGCGGAAAAGGCTGGAGCTGGGCATGCTCTCCTCCCAACTATGGCACGACGCTTCCCGAAGACAACGGTGAGCCCTGGTTCTTTTCATGTGTCCTTGCGCGAAGGGATGGTGGTCTGGAGACTTTTGGAAGCAGCGTGGATGTCGGTTTCGCGCGATTCTTCATAGCAGGAGATTCACTCAGGATGGCATTGAATTGCAGCAAGAATTCCTACTGCCAGAAGCTTCGGCAAGAGGCAGGTTCCGTAAAGGAGTTCCTGCTACCATTGGGGAAGTGCAAGGCCTACGACACTGAGCTGCCTTGTCCAAAGTCGCCTGTGTCCATGATGCAACGCAGCCAGGAACACACCAATGATTTTAAGGGTCATATAGCCTTGCCAGCTGTTGCTGTGGAACGGTGCTCGTTTCACTCGGGCACCGCACGCCTTCTGCAACGTGGCCTCGAACTGCGCCAGATGCTCTCACTGCGCGAAGAAGCGCACAAACTCCATCACGGAGGCTGGGCATCTTTCTACGACTTCTGGTTCTATCCCGACGGGCGAATGAGGCCTTTGCCCACGGAGCGGATCTCTGCTGACATGCGCTCGGGTGGCGAAGGTCGCTTTTCACGCTCCGTCCCTGTGTCGGACCCGGTGCACTCGTTTATGACCAGATTTCGGGGCTTAGCCCAGGTGTTCGCATTTTCAGGTCTTGTGCAACCCAAAGGAAGGGATCAGGCATATGTCAACGGCGTGGCATATGCAAGTGGTTTGGCAGACGCCGGTGTATCGGTCGAGTGGATTCTTTATTATAGGCCACTTGTAAGGCATGCAGCACAAGCCATATTGCAACTGACCAAATCGCCCTTACATTTGGCTGCATTGTGGGAGTTGAAGCCGATGGAGGTCTGCGCTGCATACTTTGTGGATGCAGCCCTTCGCTGTGATGCCACCTCTGCTCGTCGACAGGACCACTCCTACGTGGAGAGCATATGCAAAGGCTGGGCAAAGCAAGAAGCCGACGTCCTCAGCAACAGCTCGGCAGCTCGCGACCGTTCCTTCCTTCAGCTCCTTTGGATTCTCACAAATGCATGCAAGGGCTTGCCGTCAATCCGGCAGAGGGGCAGCCAGAACGACAGCCGGCTGAGCCCCTTCAACGACTGGCTCCAGTCCTTCCACACTTTGCACAGTGAAACCGGAAACAACGACGCGACGCATCACTTCTTTCCTGGGGCGACACCGGCAGAGGGCGTATCTGTACTTTTGTTCAACACCAGCAGCCTTGACTAATTTATTTGTTTCGTGGTCACACTGCCTGCAATACCCCGGGGCCCCGGGCGAATTGACCCCATCGCCACGGCTCACTGAAAGACTGACCGTCTGAGTCTCTTCAGCAAGGCGCAGCGATGAAAAATCCTCCCATGCCTTCCCTTTTGTTGCTTGTACTGGTACCACGTTGCTCGGCTCAGTCTTGTGTGCAGAGCCTGTGATCAGGAATCGGAACTGCGCATGGTTCCAGCCGAGTGCATTCACCTCTGAGTTCAGTGTAGTGCCATGCTCCCAGCGTCGTTTGAGTCTGCGGTTTCATCGCGGTTGCCCTAAACCCCAAGATCACTTCGTCTCCCAGAGCCCACAGGGAACCTTGTAGTCGTCGTGGACGTGCTGCTATTTCCCGGTTCGACCAACCCTGACATCGGGAGTCTGCAGCAAAATTCGAAAGCTTACAGTTTAGGCTTCATGCTACTGGTTTGACTCGATCGCTGCAGCATGGCGAGGCTCAGCCGCAGCCGACGGCGGTGCTTGAGGACGCTGAGGCCCGACAGTTCGATATGGAAGCATGCATATACGTATCCCTTAGAGTTCTTCTTTATATGACCAGACTTTATGTTGCTTTCATGAAATTGCGTCTGGGGACCGCCACGAAGCCAAAACGCAGCAGCCACGGCCCCGCCCTAAGGCAACCAAAACTCCCCTACCCTTCCCTCTGACCCTCGCTCGCTCTTGCTTTTGCAAACGACCTCTCCGTCTGTCACTGTCTCTGTCTGTCTTTCTGGCTGGCTCACTTGCACTCTACTCTATTCAACTCTTACTCTATGCTAGTTTGCTCTTCTTTGGGAAGGAGGCGCCCAATGTCACCCCGGACGCGCCCCTGCAGATCGATCCAGATGTTCTGTACAGAGCGCATCAAATTTTCATGCGGCTGGGCCTTTGAACTCATGTCGGCGCCATTGCATCCATACCAAGCAGAAGTACGTAATTGTCGTAAAATCAAGAAGTAGAAATAGAAGTAATCGTAATAGGAGCAACAGCAGCAGTAGCAGCAACTGTACTGCCACTGGTAATAGTTTAATAGTACTAGTAGTACTGGTAGCAGTATGAGTAGTGGGTGGTAGTAGCAGTAGAAGCAGCAGCAGCAGCAGCAGCAGTAGAAGTAGTAGTAGCAGTGGCAGCAGTAGTAGTAGTAGTAGTCGTCGTCGTCGTCGTAGTAGTAGTAGCAACAGCAGTAGCAGTAGCAGTAGCAGTAGTAGCAGGAGTGGCAGTAGCAGTAGCCGTGATAGTAGTAGCCGTAGCAGTGGCAGTAGTACTATTATTACTATTATTATTACAGTAGTAGTAGTAGTAGTAGTAGTAGCAGCAGCAGCAGCAGCAGGAGCAGTAGCAGCAGCAGTAGCAGCATTAGTAGTAGCAGTAGCAGTAGCAGGAGCAGGAGCAGGAGCAGGAGCAGGAGCGGTAGCAGTAGTAGTAGCAGCAGTAGCAGTAGGACTAGGACTAGGAGTTGTAGTAGTAGTAGTAGTAGTAGTAGTAGCAGCAGTAGTAGTAGTAGTAGTAGTAGTAGTAGTACGGTCCTACTAGTGGTCGTCGTCGTCGTCGGCGTCGTTGTTGTTGCTGTTGCTGTTGCTGTTGCTGTTGTTGCTGTTGTTGCAGTTGTTGCTGTTGCTGTTGCTGCTGCTGTTGTTGTTGTTGTTGCTGCTGCTGCTGCTGGTGTTGTTGTTGTTGTTGTTGGTGTTGGTGTTGGTGTTGGTGTTGTTGTTGGTGGTTGTTGTTGTTGTTGTTGTTCGTCGTTTTCGTCGTGGTCATTGTCGTCGTGGTGGTCTCCATCGTTATGGTGGTAGTAGAGCTGATAGTGACACTTGGTGGTTGTGCTCGCGGTGGTCATAGTCGCAGTGGTGGTAGTGACGAGTGGTGACGGCAGTCGCAGTCGTAGACGACGACTACTACTAACTACTACGACGACGACGACGACGACTACTACTACTACTACTACTGCTACGACCACCGCCACCGCCACCCCCACCACCACCACCACCACCACCGCCGCCCCCATCACCACCACCACCACCACCACCACCACCACGACCACGATTGTCCGTCACACCCTGCACATGACTTCCGTCATGCCACCGCTACTTCGACTTCGCCCCCGATTGTCTCCCAAGGATCTTGACCTCATCGGGAGTCGTCGCTCCTGCTGGTACGCCCGAGCAAGGCCTGAGCTCGAGGGTTGCAGAACCGGTGACCTGGGGTCTTGAGATGTTGAGTTGGAGGATAGGGGGCGACAAGCTGAGCTTTGAGGATTGTTCTGTTTTGGAGTCCTTCGCCCCTGGTTGCAGGAAGCATTTTGCGCGAGGAGGCCATCGCACCCGAGCTCTGAATGAGCCCATGGTGATTCACATTGCATATCCGGATTAAACCTTCAATTCAACTGGTCTTTCAAGCTCAACACTCTCTTATTAACCCGACCTCATGGCATCTGATCTGGGTTTTGGGGTGTCCTACTCGTCAGTTCTCAGGGAGCGGCGGCATGGATTGGAGTTTTGTGGCAGCCCACACACGCCACAAGTAGAAAGAGTACGTACATGGCACACTTGTCTTACAGCTCTGGCCTTACGCTCCGCGGCCCTATTCCCGAAACTCTCGCCCTATAAGGCTTAAAGCCTGAACATCTGATATCGCAGGGCTGCCTTATGAGCTTTGTTTCTGGAAGCCTATCTGGTTCACGGATCAAGAGAGACGTGCTGCTTGCGCCGACCTCCGGGCGGAGGTATTGGTACAGTAATAAATAAAGGCTTTGGGATTTAGCGAATCTTTCCATGCTCGATGTGTTACTCTTCGCTACCCAGCCCCACTCACCCCCGCCACTCCTTGGCACGGAGTGGCTTCAGCTAAGCATTGCAGATGCCCCCTCCCTTAGTCCCCCAATGGCTTTCACTGTCTGGCCCCGCCCTTCAAGGAAGGACCCTAAACTCTAAACCCCAAAAAAGCCTAAGACCCCAAAGCCCTAAGCAATAATAGGTGGGTTGCGATTTAGGATTCGGCACATGGGGAAGAAGAGGCCCGAGATAACGGCTCCCTCACTAGTGGGGTTTGGACGCTTCAAACAAAAAGCAACATGTTTTTAAGGACCCTATAAACCCCAAATTACTGAGACCTCGCCTGGATTGTCCGAGTTGTTAGAGTGTAAAACCCAAAGTTTAGGGCTTAGGGCTTAGGAGGGAAAAAAGTTAAGGTACAGTTTGTGGCCCGGCACCGGCGCTTGGCCGAGCTCCGCGGCTTTACGGCAGCCTTGCCGAAGATCGTCTTCCACTGGACCCAGGTGGGCTTCGGGTTTAGGGCTTTCGAGGTTTAGGGCTTTCGGGGTTTGGGGTTAGGGTCCTGGGGGCTTAAGGAGATTTAGCAGGGATTTAGGGTTTAGGCTTGAAAATAATACGATTTCGGGGTCCAAGGCTCCGGGTTTGGAGTTTATGCAGAACGTAGAATTGGGGCTTCCGCCAGGGCGCAATGCTGCAAGGCAAGAACACGGGACTTTGTCAACAGTAGGGGTTCGCGCTTGCAGGGCCACTCAACCCGCAACCGCATGTCACGGGCTAATTTAGGGGTTTGAAGGTGAGAATCACAGTCATACCCCCTCATAGTCCCCAAGTTATACTTCAACTCTATTGTAGCTTCCCAGAACACGATTCCAATTCCAATAATTAAGGCCCTAATGTTACGCTGCCTGCATGAAGGGAACTGAAACCAATGTGCAAAACAGCGGCCGCAAAAGACAGAATAGCCTCTTGGGCCACATTTAGTACCAGTATGTACGCGTCTGTGTGTGTGTGTGTCTATTTATATACATACATACATACATACATACATACATATTCATATATATATATATAGAGAGAGAGAGAGAGAGCGAGACAGAGAGTCCGGGTCGCTGACAACCACACATATATCTATCTATACATATATATATATACACGTATATATATATATACATACATACGTGTGTGTGTGCGTGTGTGCGCACATCCGAATTATAGGGGAATGCACCTGCGCAGGAGAAGAATTTCGCAAGCATCGCACGGGAAGGCTTGCGGGTCCCTGACGGAGCAGGCGCGATGGGGGGGTGGCACTGTTTCAGACACATGATCAGCTAGTAAAGTGTACTTGAAGCATCGTTACCTAGCACTGCTCCCTTTCGATGTTTGGTCGATAGTTCTAAAATGTCTGCCAGCTGTGTAATCGTGAGCTTCGAAGTCTTTGCTACGAACACGTCGAACCTTCTGGTTGCACCCGGGCACTGTTCTCTGTTTGGTCTGGCTCAGACCCTACCGAGGAGTTGCCATCGCACATGGCAGTTCTTTTGGACGCTTGGCCTTTCTTGGACATGGTCTCGTTGCTTTGTTGTAACAACACTAGAGGAAGCTCACATGAGTTCTGCCAGATCGCAGTGAACCGAGGAAATGGTATTTACGTGTCTCAGCAGCATGGGTACATGGCAAAGGCTGCTGAAATCGTACCTACCCAGCCCAACTTCATCCAAAACACCCTTTTCTTGCATAAGGAATGCCTTGAAAGATTCTTCGCACCAAAGCCAGGTGTCACCTTACGCCCTTCGACTGAGGTTTCACCCGAGTTTCGATATGGAAAGGAGCTCTTCGCCTATGGCGCGCGGGCTGCGCGGCAGGGCTTTGCGACGGGATTTACCGAAACCCCATGGGAGATCGAAGAGCCCGTAAGCTTTGAGAGGGTTTAGGTTTAGAAGTTTCGGGTTTTGAGAACTTGACCTGGATCCTTCTTTCTTTGGCCAGCTGGGGCCCCCTAAACCTTCAGTTGCGCCTTGCTCCCGCCCCAAAGCGCACGGACTCGGGCGGGTGCGACCGAGAAAGAGCAAGGCGTCGAAGAGCGGCATAGGTCAGCAACTGCCGAAGTGTTCTCGGATCAAGTTCCATAGCAATACCACGAAACCACGAAGATCAGGCGTGTACCGTGCATTGTAAGAGGTATTCCTATGGGGGACTGCAACAGAGAAGAGGCCAGCCACGAACCGCCTGAGGCTGCTTTCATGTGCCTGGCGTTGCCTGGCAAGCAGCACTTCGGCAAGCCTCCTGCAGACGGCACTGGATTTCTGTCCCCTGAAGACGATGGCGCCGCGCCCAGCGAAGACGTGCGTTGCCTGTAGGTTCAAGTAAGAAAGATGTAGAGGTTTTCAGGCATGCCTGTTTTGTTGAGGGATCGTTGGCTGGAGCCTTTGTGCCAGGTGAGTCTGAAACTTGGTTAAGTAATGGCTAATGGAGGATGACGGAATGAAGGGGATGCTCTCTCTTTGCGCCTTGCACTGGCCTTGCACCGTTTGTGTCTGCGAGTTCATCTTGTTCCCTGTGCAGCCTGCAGGCTACGACAGCGTCATCGGGCGCGAAGGCCAAAGGGGCATTGACGAGTGGGTGTTTTTCCGCCAAGACCAGCTGCTGCTGTGCTTCCTGGTTGACGAGCATCCTGGCCGAACATCGTCACATCAAGGCATCTCACGGAGTAATTGGACCAGTCATGTGTACGTCATGGCTTTTTCCGACATGTCGATGTCCGACAAGACTCTCAGTCGCGGAGCCTTTCCTGCAGTGATTTAGGCTCGGCCTGGTTGTGGCCAAGGAGGCCGCCTTTGCCGCGATCAAGGTGACTTCATCCATCCGAATCAGGGGATATTTGTAGGGTTTTGGGTTCAGGGCTTAGGTAAGTCGGAAGACTCAAGAGCACGCGGGTTCTTGTTGTTCTGATTCATGGTTCCAACCTGCCCCAGCCTCTTTGTAGCTGCAGGGCTTGCATGGATTACTACGTCAGCCAGAACCTTTAATGATTAGAAGAGGGTTTTGGCAAATTCGGTGCATATTTTAAGACAGTCGAAATATAATTTTTAGAGAGCCCGAAAGAATAGGGTTGTTAATTTTCCAGGCTTCTCTAGTGCCCGGCTTGGTTTCACAGTAAGCTCATTAAAGCTGGAAGTTGATTGTCTTCATGCCCTTCAATCCTCAGGCAAACCAGAGAAATACAGCCACCAATCACCCGCTTTCCGATGTCCAACACTGTGCGGCATACTGTCATCCTTTGCAGATGTAACTGCTCAGACCATCCTACCCCAAGAGCAAACACAGGGTTCTGATGCAATTTACATACGAATATTTCTCTTACCATTATGATTCCTTAGGGCTCCATTATGTTGGATAATCATTAAAATTCAAACTATAGTTTAACATGCCCTAGATTTTCCAAAAAAGCATCTCGTAGCGTACATGGCTGAATGGGACCTCCGGACGTGTTGGTTCTGGGAATTTCCGGGTGCCGAGCATGCCCCCTATGCCAAGAGACGAATGAATGGGGCGGCGGGGGGTGCGGGTTTAGGTAATAGGGTTAGGGTTTGAGGCTGTCGGGTTCAACTTAGGATTGCGGGATGTTTTGGCTGGGGTTCAGGGTTTTAGGGATGTGGACCTGAGGTTCTGCATCAGCCGTGGCCACAGCCTCCGGAAAAGATTTCGCAGTTGCCGGCACCGGTGCAGGATGATTGTCTGGAGAATCGGGGGACAAAGCATGACGAACGCACAGTGGGTACATCGTGCGGCGAGAGACGACACAGGCTGTAAATAAAGAGGTAGCAGCAGCAGAGAAATGGCTTGAAATGGAGGGACAAGATAATTTTGGGTCACAAGTGAGAGTTGCAGCCAAGAAGAGCATCACACAAAACAAGTTGAGCCAGCGAGTGTGAGGGTAAAGTGTGAAGGTGCAAAAGGCCCGCTTACGCATGCGTATGGGAAGAACGCTGCTGAAGGCATGCAGGCGGTTTGACAGCGACAGTACAGGTAGGGACATGATCATGCAACACGTTTAGCGGTGTAGGGCCTAGGCTTAGGTTATTATTCTGGAGGAGATACAGGCTGGCCGGTGGCAGCGCCGTCATGCCCTAGATGCCGGGGCACCCACCGATGAGGCCGATATGTTACTTGGTTGTCTTTCGGCGGTCCTTCAATCCGACACCATCTGTCATATGCGAAGCGCTCCCTACGGCTTCGACCAACTATCTCTTGTTGGACTGATTAGAATGATTAGTTAAGTCGTGGCTGGAGATCAAGCATCTCAGCAGCAGGAGCTGCAGCACCACCGCCAAGAGCAGCAATAAGTGGCGGAGATGGTGGCGGTGTTGGTGGTGGTAGGTGGTGGTGGTATGTAGTTGTTGTTGTGGTAGGAGGGTGAGGTCGTGGTGGTGGTGGTGGTGGTGGTGGTGGTGGCGGCGGTGGTGGTGGTGGCGGTAGTGGCGGCGGTTGGTCGTGGTGGTCGTAGTCCTAGTCCTAGTAGCAGTAGCAGCAGTAGTAGTAGTAGTAGTAGCAGCAGCAGCAGCAGCAGTCGTAGTCATAGTCGTAGTCGTAGTCGTAGTAGTAGTCGTCGTCGTCGTAGTAGTGGTCGTAGTCGTCGTAGTCGTCGTAGTCGTCGTAGTAGTCGTCGTAGTCGTCGTAGTAGTCGTAGTAGTCGTCGTAGTAGTAGTAGTAGTAGTAGTAGTAGTTGTTGTTTTTGTTGTTAGTTGCGGCAGTAGCACTAAGTCACTAGCAGTAGCAGTGGCCCCCACAGGGCATTGGCAGAAG